AAGACTCAATGCTACTACTGCTAATAAATATTAATAAATCTTTATTTTTAAAGGAATAATCACATCTGTTTTATTTTTAATTTTAAAAGTAAATCTGATTACCAGAAAAATTAAGAACATTTTATAGGGCCATACTATTGTTTAAAAAGGACCCTATACAAAAAAAAAGAATAGGTTTAAAATACAGGCATGTGGTTCTTAATTTCTTTTTATTAATTCACTATTTGTAAACTGATGTTTACTGTTAATTTTTTAGAAATATCAATAGCATTTGTATTAAAACTATATTCACTGAATGTAATAAAAAAAAAAAATCGAGAATCGAATTGAGAGCTTGCGAATCAAAATCGAATCGAATCGGGGTATCTGAATCGATACCCAGCCCTACTGGGAATAGAAACAGGATTCATATGCTGTATCACAAACAAACACAGATACATATCAGGGTCTGCGGACATTTAAAAGCAGTGTGTTTCTGTGATAGTGAGCTGCGGTGGATATCTCTGTATTTATTCTCCTACAGTTCTTCAGTCATCGTCATTTCAGCTGATCTCTTCTTGGGCCTTTGGCTGATGTAATTTTAAAAGCAGGCCATATGACCTTTCATCTGCTTTTGTTGGTTTTTCGCCACTGCATTTATCATGGTCTGCCTTGTTATGCCAGTGCTTTCAGACACTGAGTCACTGTTATTTTCCATTGCAGGATTCATTCTCTGTTAGAAGAGAATGCTAAGATTGAAATATAATCCTCTATCATTTTCGGTACAAGATACATTCAGATTTTCCTTTTATGGCTTTGTTTTTTTACTTTATTCATTTATTTTGACATTATGTAACAATTTATTATCCATTTAACATGACTGTTGTATAATGTAGGTTTTGGTATTATTTACAGGAATATTCCAGGTTAAAAAGGTTAAATAGAGTCATCATGAAAAAAGTTATCATGAAATCATAATTGACTTTATTTACTTTACTTACGGTGCACGTTCCTCATTCATCAGTGCACATTATTGCAAAAGGGGGGGGAAAATTCTAATTAATCTTTCATCAAAATCTAATAATATGCTCTGCCTCCTAAAACTTTCCTTGAGGCATTCAGGTCTGTTACAGAACACCCATTTTTCAAGATTCAGTATTTATTATAAGTAGTTCTTTTATTTCTTAATTTCTTTATACTTATGGATGAAGTGCAGTTGAACACTTTACTTCTCTGCCTTTTGATTATTTTTCTTAGGGAAGCAGCACAGTAGCGAATTCTCCCGTTTGATTGCCCAGGTCAGAGGTCGTCTGGAGACATCCAAGAGAGCACCGGTCAAACAGGAAGAGGAGAAGTCTGCAGAGGAAACAGACTCCAAAGGTCCCATTGTCTTCAGTTTCTCTTCAGATTGCACTTAAAGATGTTACATAAGACTTGTTTCCACACACACACACACACACACACACACACATATATATATATATATATATATATATA